GATCCTTTTGCCTTTAATTTCACTGTGGGGAGCTAGGAATCACAGAATGGTGGAGGTTGGAAGGGGCTACTGAAGATCATCTAGTCCAAGCCTCTTGTCAAGCACGGTCACCTAGAGCCAGTTGTGCAGGACCATGTCCCGATATTTTCTAAGTATCTCTGAGGATGGAGATTTCACAACCCTTCTGGGCAACTTAAACCCAACTCAAACTTAGGATCTAGTTCCTCAAGCAGGTCTTTGTGTCCTTCTGGATATATAAAGACAGAAAAGCCAAGCGTTTATACCGTGTTGTATTGAAGAATAGTGATGTTTTTATGAAGGCACACTTTAGCTGATTTCCTAGGGAGTCCACTTCATTTTAGCCTTCAGCTCCCTAAGTTGCATCCAGATCATTGCAGTCTTCACTGGCTGCTATTTCCCATCTCTTAGCAAAGCTCAGTGTGTTTCATAATGCAGAGCATTATTACAAATTTATATTATTACAAATATAAAAAATTATTACTGTAATGCTTACAGTATAGTACTACCAGTTCAGTCAGGTAGTCTTTAAAGATAACATTAATTCATGTAGTATTTTGAAATATCCCCTGTCTGGCTTAGAACTCAAATTTCAGTCATGTCATTGAGATGGTCAATATCGTAAAGCTTGTCTGATCTTTTGTTGTCAAAGCTGCCTGATGAGCATTAACTGACTCAAGTATCTTTACTGCAAGTTTGCTTTATTTGACTTGAACTGCGGAAGATTTGTGATGTCATCTACAGAGATTCCTTAAAAATGAATGTTTATATCCTCAAAATCCTTCTCAGTTCTCACTGAATTCTAAACATTTAGTGCTTTCTGTAAGCAAAATCCCTAACAAATTGAAGTATATTCTTCTAAGCCTTTAGAGGAGCATTTAAACCCTAGCATTGAACAATTTGAGAATTTTACATACTCAGTCCCATATTCATTTCTTTGAAATTATCCCTAAATGGGATAAAATATGTCAGCATGCACCTTTAGCATAAAAAATCACCTTGCATTTAAACAAAAGACTTTTCTTTTCCAAGCCAGTTCCAAAAAAAAATACCCCATGGAGATGCAGAAGCAAATTGTGGGATAAAAGGCTTCTAAAACTTCTTATTTGGAGAATTCTAATATTTTCTAATATTCAACAATATTTTGGCATTATTATTATGGGATAATGAACATAGAAGTTTGCCTTGGTTCCAGGTCAGGACAACAATGGGGTGCTAAAGACATAAGAGTTCATGAAGGAGGGAGAGTTGTTTTTTTCTTCAATCAGCTTGGTTAGTAATGAAAACAGCAGAACAGAGTTACATATGAAAGAAAGGCAAAGAAACTGCATGGGGTTTTAAATAAGAAAATAAACTTGATTTATTGTTCAGGGAAAGTGCATTTCAGTAAAACCAATCAATGAAAATTAAGTGAAGAATAACAGAGCCCTGAGAAATGTAGACATGGACATAATTTCAGTTTTTTGTTTCCTTTTAGAGGTTATTGACTGAATGCCTGCTTGGAAAGCAGAATGCCATATCATTAAGGAGGTTTCTATGAATGTCTCATTTTTACTTGTCTCTTGTTTTTTCTTTTAGAAGTGGAACTGAGAGTATCAATTGTAACTGAGTTTTAAGAGAGATTTACATATCTGATGTCAGTGGTTTTGATTTTCAAGTGGTAATCCATGTGTCTGTTCATGAAATGAGAGAATATAAACAATGTCTAATGCTTGAAACTGAGGTTTTTTTCTTTGCAGAGTTCAGATCATGTCTTCACCTTGCTTCTCACCTCTGCTACCTTCAAGTCACTTTTCTGTTCTGCAGTCCCTGTTGATGGTGGAACTGCAGGTAGATTAAGTTTTTCAAAAGACTTGAAGATTGTTTTACCATTTCACAGCAATTTCATCAGTTGAGAACTCTTCTTCCAGTTTTTAAATTTAGAACTACATGCATTTGGCCTTTCTCATTCAAATGTTCTCTGGTCTGAGGCAGCCACCAGCAGAGTGCCTTAAGAATGCATCTTCTACCACTCCAGCTCCTACTACACAGATCTTATACAAACTGCCTCTTCTACTCGACATTGGGTAGTGAGAGAATGAATATGGGAGATGAGATTGACTTCAGTGTTTTCTAGTGCTCTGCTTCCTTAGGACTCACTGAAGACTCCCTATTCTCTAGTCATGGGCTGGTTGGCACCTCACTGCCCTGATGAAAGCCTCTGTTTTGTACAGTTTGTACATCTGAGTTCTAGTGCCTGCACACCTTGCTGACACACTGCGCAGTATGTAAGTCACTCCCTCATCCCTTGAGTGGCTTCTGATTTTCAGGCCATACTCTTTCTGCCTTAGGGGATATGTGTAGAGGGATGTGAGTTCTTCAGCCTTTGCACCCCAAGGCTCTCTGTGGGACCACATCTTGCTTTGTTTCTCAGCTCAGGATCTTAACTTAGTAAGGAGCTAAAGTCCTAAATTAGAATTAAGAATTTAAATTTTACCTGAATTTGATGTGACAAATTTAAGGTCACTGTAAAATTGTTCATGACCAGATATTTCATTACTTATGGTGTTGTAAAATTTGTGGTCACTTTATCACACACACTAAATTTTCATACTTCTTGTTCCAATACACTTATAGTCAAATGTTCTTGAAATTAGTATTTAAGGATTCTTGTTAGTCTGAGGCAGGCTTAATGGCTTTCCTTTTATTTATTTATTTATAATAACACCATGTTCACACCCACATGGTGTGAACATCAAGACTACTTTCTCATTTCAGTAGTAGGTAAAGTACAAAGTGATGAGTTTAGCTTCTTTCAAGAAAGAAATTACAAGCTATTTCTAGATATTTTGAGGGAAATAACAACTATTTCCTGGTGCTTTTTTTTTTTTTTTTTTTTACAACAGAACTGCCACCTCCTTTCCAAATGACTGGAACATGTAAATGGCTTAACAATTTTAAGCATTTTATGTTACTCATTTAGCTGGAAATATTGGGGGGTGGATATTGATATTGGGGACTTACTATAACAGGGGTTTCTGGAAGCTCATTATGGAACAGGAGTTTGATATTGCAGTGGATAGGAACCTAACCATAAATGCAGCATTATCTCCTAGTAAAAGGAATGCTTAATTGAATACCCTACCTCTTTTATTTGGGAACATCTTAAGCTTGGTTTCTGTGGATATTACTGTACTAGTCTTCCCTTTCTCTTTTCTTCATCTTTCACTTCTATTTTTTTCATTAAATCCTCATGAGCAATTTTCATGTTGTTCCATGGGATTAAGAACGGGAACAAAACAACCACATAGTGGAACTCACAGAAGATGGATTCTCTTGAAAGGCTTATTTTCCTTAAATGGCATCAAAAACAACTTTCCATTTTTTTCTTCTGAAATGTGTTTTGCTCAAAACCCTAGGGAGAGAAGACATGAAAGATGGATGTCTGTTCTTGTTCGTCAGACCTTTGCTTCTTTACTTGCTTTCCCAGTTTGGGTATGCAGGGCATTTGGAAACAGTGTTAATCTATAAAATGCTAGGCTGGCCTTAAATGTCCAGCTTTTCCTAGCTCCTTGAAATGGCAATTAATTTCCCTACAGTTAGCCCTTTAATTTTGAGTCAGCCGGTACCAATACTGTGCAATTTCAAATATGTCTGAATATTAAAGACATGAAAATCAACACTGAATAGTATAAACCACATTTCCAGTTTTGATCTCAGGAATAGTACTTTCATTGGTGTTGGGATTTTTTCAGACTGAATTAATGGTCAGAATTAAATTGAAATGGTGAATTTAATGAAGTCTGTAATAAGATTTTTGAGTAGTGTTTTATTAACATACAGAGTACTGTGGGTTGCTGCTGAGGGATGTTTTCTGTGTTAAAAATGCTTTTTTAACTTGCTATGAAATATAACATTTATTTCCTGTGAGGACAAACCTTCTATAATTTATTTTAATTTAAGAATACAAAGGCAGAGGAGTATGGTACTGGATTGGATCCTTGTGGAAAATGACAGTATAGGCACGTTTTCCAAGAGTGAGAGGGGGAGAAGTTTGTGACTCTGCCCTAGTAAGCAAGGCTGAGCCAGGAGTTGGTCAGATGGGGTTCTAGCCTTGCCTCGTGGCACTGAGATATTTATGTGTGTTGGTCTTCACTTCTCTGCCTTATTTTGACAGTGATCTTTTGGCATAGGTAGCATGTAGAACAGGTGTCTTTTGTCACCTAGAGCTGAGTTTATGTCAAGATGCATTGTCTTCAATGTATTTAATGTGTGAAATGGGATGAAAGAGATTCTACAGTAGCACACAAAAGTAACTTATCGGTGTGAATGTATTGTATACCTCTTGTAATGTAGTTTGTGTGTCTTTGAAGGAGATGGTATGAGATAGGTGATGACTGAAGAAGCTTTTGATTCTGAATGTTCCTCTTTGTTAAATAATGAAAAAATCAAACCTAATGTTCTGTTCAACTTTGACTGTTGTTAGAATTTCTTTCCTGACTGGGGAGAGAGAGTACACATAAAGAAGAATATTTTATTTGATGCAGTTACAGTAACAGATTTTCACTGCCTTTTAAAAGCAGTCTGAGTTTTTGAGAATAAAAGCAGCGAAAATGTTTGGAGGACCAGAAATTTACGTGCGTTTTCTTCCCTGGAAATTAATGGGAATATAGATGTTCACTTAAATTGTTTGGTTTATGTCTACTTAAATTATATATATGAAAACTTAAAATTTCTGACAGTTTTAAAATTACTATTCATATTACTGTGAGTGTAAAACATCTTGTTCACAAATAGACATTAACCTCTGAAAATTTTGGCTTTAATTTAAAAAGATCTTCTTCCACAGCTAAATTCTAGTCATGGGAAGATCTTGTGGAGCGAACATACACAGATATTACATGATTTTTGCATAGAAGCAAAAAGGAGAAAGTACTTATGGCATTTTCAATAAGCACGTATTTAAGCATCGCACAAATGTAATTTTCATGTTTACATTTCAGGAAAACAAGATACCTCTGCTGAAACTCTTCTGGGTCAGGAACATATAAACCCTACAAGTTACTCAAGCCAGCTAGAAGACTCTGGATGTGATGTCTGTAATGACTCTGCATTTGATTCTTTAGGCATAGCTTCAGATTTTCACCAATCTGAGCATAATGTCAGCAAACATTGGTTGGAAAGAGTTCCCCCACTGCATCTTTTCCATACTAGCAAGGAGCAATCTCTGACTGCTCCAGTGCATTTTTTGCAATGCTTGCTTGAAATAAGAAAACTGTCAGAAGGAGGACGTCTTCAAGCAGACTTTTCACAGCTTGAGAATGATTCTTCTACCATATGCAATTCAGTGTCTCAGTTACTTGATGGACTGACTGTTTTTTACAACAGTCCCAAATTCCCAGCTCCAAGTTTCCTTTCTGAAGGAGTTTGTGTTCTGATCAGTTTGATAACTGATACTAAATTATCTAATCATGTTTTGAAGAAGTGTTTCAAGAAGATGGAAGAATTTAAGAAAAATCTAATTCAAATTATTTTAAGAAATAGGAGTGTCAATAGGGTAAGTTTAAAACATTTTCCTTCTTTCATATCCAACTTCCATATACTGTAGTATTCTCCTGGTTTTATGCATTTTTAAAATACCAGTTTGTCTTATATTTTGAAGAGTACTACTCAGAGATTTTTATGATTGTTCTTTTCTGAAATATGGATAATAAATGCTCTGAAGCACTTGGAAAAGTTCTTGCTCATGCATGCAAGAGGTTCTAACCTATTCCCAAGTACAGGACTTTTAAGTAACTGATAAAAATGCAGTTTAAAGCAACTGATAAAAATGCAGTTTAAAGCAGCTTCATAGAAAATATGAGGGGAAAACACATTGTTTCTCTTGCTATATGGAGATATACTGTAGATATTCATTCATATGTGATGAATTCTTATTCTTTCTTGAGCAACTAAATAAAATAATTTGTTTGCTTCAGATATCCATCATCCTCTAGCTACTTGCAAATTTGTGGTTTAGAAATATATAAGCAAATGAGTGGAGTGTTCAAAAATAATGTCCCCATCACAAACAACAAATAGGACTGAATTTCATTTTGTTTGTATTCATCAGTGTATTTTGTTCCATGTATCATTTTGTTAATTTCCTCGTTCATCTGAAATATCCTTGGTCTGTTTTCACAAGATACCCTACAGGTAATGAATTTCATTGCCTGTCTTAGGATTTTTGATTTTCATTCTGACTTTTAGAGTAACTTGGAACAGCCACGATGGTGGTATTTTTTGAGACTTAGATGTACCAATTTAGTGTCCTCATGTAGGTAACTACGCTACCATTAGAGCAAATTAAGATCTTATCCCCGTAATCCTTGGAGCCTGAAAAATGCTTACTGGGTACTAGGTCCCTATTTTAAGATAAACTTTAAAGTTGCCTCTCTCAAAACGAGAGCCTGGACATCTGGTATGCCTGTGCATGGATGTACCCATTTGCCTTAATTTAAAGTGAATCCAGCTCACTGTGTATTGAGTGTTTACCCCAGAACATGAACATCAAGCAAATACTATTACCAAATTAAGAGGGCATTAAGTAAAAAGGATGTACCTATATTTTGGTTAGGAAGCATTCAGGCTGAAATCTTTTCAGGACTAGAATCTTGTGTTTCTAATACCAGAAATATTTCCACTTTAGTGTCAGCATGGTGCAAGACTTAATTTTTAATTAGAGGTGTCCCTGGTCAGTGTCTTGAAAGGATATGACCATACATTCCATTTGTGTGGTGTCAGGAATGGAATTATACAGGTGTGACTCCTTTTTTGTGTGTGTGTGGGATCACTGGATACAAAAAAAAAATTTGAAGTCCTTCATTAAGGACTTCTTTATAACTGATGATGTACAGTGTTTCCACCGTTTCCTGTCCCCTTACTGAATGAGAACTCAATAAATAATTGAAATAAGGTTAAGTGTGGAAGAGCAATCCAGAGATTGTCTGGAGATGGACTTTCTGTTGATTGGAGGAATCTGGCAAAGTTTAATTGAGAGGTGTCACATCTTAAATGGGAGAAAATACTCTGATAGATCAGGGTTGTTTCAGGTCTGAAAAGTATTTTTATGAATCATTCAGGAGAGGTGGAGTACATCCACGTAATTTGAAAGTGACATATTTTCTCTGAATAACTTCACTAAAACAGATGTCTTTTTATGAGATGTGTTGTATCTTGCTTCCACAAAAATATTGACATAATAAAGAGTCATTACTATTGGCAGCCATTATTTCAGTCAAACACATTAAAAGAGTTTAAAAATTGTGCAGACCAATTACTAAGGGGTAATCTTGGAGATTAGATCTTCCAGATTAGATCTAATCTTCCAGATTAGAGGTTTGGTGTTCTTTAAACTGAATTGAAAATGAACAAATGTGTAGCATTCAGAAATAGTAGTGTAAATTGTAGAACTAATTCTTCACATGCTGTGCACCAGATAACTCCCAGGAACACTTTGTACAGGTAGTGATTAAAATGCCAAGATTAAAGGTTTTTTTAAAAAATTGCCATTACTTACAAGGCTAGCTTCTGGAAAGAGTCACAGGCTGTATGAATTTCAGTTCCAGGAAAATGTTTAAATCCCCCCAGCTTAAAAATATTAAGAATTTTGTTGTATCTAACCTCACTGTCAAAAAGCGTTTGTACAGACAGCTATGCAGCGATGTAGTATTTGACACAGCTTTCCCTTTACCATCCTCATCATTAAAACTGTCAGGAATTTTCAAGGAAGACAAAGGGCTATGAGAAACACCTTCAAAAAGCTCACAGAGAGAAGTAGCTGTGTAATTAATTAATTAATTACATCTCAAAAGCAATCTCAGCATTTTTCAGAGCGTATTAAATGCCTTTAAATAATCTTTGATAATTGGAAATGGAATCATTATCTCTACCTTAGATGTAAAGTAAGAAAAACATCAGCAGAATTACTTGCTGTAACTGTACGGTCCTATTGTTTAAAATGTTGCTAATTATAAAGCATTGGAAGCTGTAAAACCAGCAAAGACATGTATTCAGAATTTTTTCCTGGATTCAGCTGCCTAAAGCTGTGGGTGTTGGTTAGAGTTTGACCTGAAACTCCATATTGACATAGGTTTCAAAAGGAAAAAAAAAAAAGTCTGTCAGTTAAGGTATGTGACAGAAAACAAAAGGTAATTTTATGTAAAATATTCAATTATTTATATCAAAAAAACTAAAAATGGCCTCTTGAATTTTCCTTTTTTAAATTTTCTCCTTTCCCTCCACGTTTGGAGAGCAGCTCAGAAATATGCACACAGTTGTCAGACACACAGTATTTTGGAATAAACCTTCTAGAAATAACTCAAAAAAGGAACCTCAAGTCGCAGCTGCTCAGGGTGAAGCATGAATGTTCAGAGGTTCGACCATCTGTGCAAGGCATGACTTTGCACCTTCTGCTGGCATGGTTTTGCATCCCTGTCTGTATGGCTGCCACAGAAAAGCGTGTGAGGATCCTGTGTCTAACTCTGGTACACGTGAGTGGTTGCTCCCATACAGCAAAATGTGTGACAGTCACTGCTGATCTGTGGAGCAAGCACTTCATTCATCACCAGTTTTTGAGTCCTCAGCGCTGAGACCTTTGGGGGTTTGCAGGTATTTGGGGGTTTGGGTGTATTGCCTTTCAGTTGCAAGTTGTTAATTTGTGTTGAGTCACTCCACTGACACACTCTGCTGTGTCAGCAGAACCACTCTTGTATTTCTGTAGGCTCCTTGCAAGTCCTGCTTTCAAGCAGACCCAAGTGTACTATAAAACTCTGTGAGATTGTATTCAGTTGGCAGAGCCACTGGCTCTGGCTTTCAAATGGACTCTACCTGACAAAACATGGGAAAACATTTTGCATGGAAAACTCTGGTAGGAGCTATGGTATGCAATTACAGCCCCAGTGGAGTAGAAACTCCAGAGAGGAAGCACTGGAACATTGTTTTTTTGCTTAATCTACCTGTTTAGGATTTGACAACATCTGTCTTCACCCACCTCCAGAGGCACAGCAAATGTTTCTCCTGCTCTTAGTTGAATCAGTCACTCACTGGCACTGAAATGTGCCTGTTCTATTGACATTTGTATTTGTTGTCCAGAATGTGTTCGAACAGGGGATCATTTCTCCTATTTCAAAAAAATACAACAGTTGGAGGGACAACCCAGGATTCCCAACTCCCTGTGCTGTTCTGGGTAGTGTATGTGTTTTGTATTTCTGGTGAAGGTTTTGGACAGCTCATGGAAGTAGAGCACTTCAGAGATGACATCCTAGAGCTTGCCTGGAAGTCTCCTGTGGTGAATCTAGGCTGGTTGTAAGTTCATAATGTATGGAATTAGCTTTAAAAGTCAAATCTGTCTAACAGAAATTAAGACACTTTATATTTTCCATATTTACATCTGTTGCCTATACAGCTGTGTGAAACTTTAAAACAGTTATTATGAGGGAATCCAGAGTCTAATTTATTACTTTGGAGACAGAAGAAAAATAGGTTTATCTTTAGCCTCTTTCAGTGCAGTTCAATTGTGTTCAAAGCTGTCACGGCCAAGTATGTCACGGGGCGCTGCATTACGTGGGATTTCTGTGGTGTGATCCTTAGTGGTGTCACACCATTTGTCAGCACTGTAGGCAATTCAGTTCACTGGTTGTACTTCTTTTAGGTGCAGTTGATACTGTAATTCAGAACCTGGCTAATGCATCCATTACAGGCCTTCACCCTGGGTTTTTTACAGAGATCTGTGTCTGTTTCTTGGACCTCATGTTTTAAGGAGTTAACCAAAAAATGACGCTTCTTCTGGGATTCTAACATTGAGCTGTGTTGAGATCCTGTTCAACAAATGCCTCATCTCTCTGGCCCATCTCGCTCATGCTCTCTTTCAACAGTGGTCTCTTCAAGACCTGGAAGGAAGAGAGATGTGTTTCAGTGAGCGGTCTGTTGTTGTTTGCTTCTTCTCATGCTATGTTTAAAACATCAGTTCTGACTTTGAAGATGCTGTTCAGTCAAGAATTGCTGCTCCGGTCAAACACCACACACACACAAAAAAGGTTATGTTATATTTCCTTCCTTTTTTAAAATATTATTCAGAAATTGGCTACCTTTAGGGTAGTTGTTTTGAAGTTACTAGCATTAACAGTATCTGGAGGGACACTGAGACATCAACATAGTTTTAGGAACTTCTCTTATCCTGTTTGGGACTTTACTGCCCATTTTAATTTTTCACTCATGTTTCATTTAAAAGCCTTTATGTAAAAATTTACCAGTGCTCAAAATACTACTATTGATAACATTTAACAGGAAAGCAAATGCAGGATTTTTGAGTAGTAGTTTAATGCCTTTACTGGGTATTTATGTGAGAAAGAATTCACAATTCTTCATGAAAATAACAAGTTGAAAAGTAATACATTGAAAAGCAGAAAGAGAAATGTTTAAATCTCAGTAGCAATTATATAATGAAATGTGTATGTATACTTATGCAGTTAAAACAGCACACATTCATCAGAGCCATGTATTTGAATATTTTCTTAT